TTCGGTATGCAGCAGTTTTCAAATAGCATTGAAGTTGAAGGAATAAAGAGAGTTTTAAGCAAGAAAAAAGCTCCTTGTATCCGAAAAAAAAAAACGTTTGTTTTAACTACTTACAAGGAATGCATGCTTAGTCGAAGTGGCCTTTTTTGATGGGATATACACCGTATTGTAGAGCATAAAATGCTGATTCCAAATCTGCCCTCCGTGTCTGCAGAACGCTTATGGACGAGAAGTTATGAGCGTTTTTTGGAGTCAAAAATTGAATGTGCAAGTGTGACAAAAATAACCGTAATACTTTTTTTAGCTCTTCAACGAAGCAGTGAAAATCAGCAAAACACTTCACTTAAAATTACTCTAAAATAAAAATTATACCACACTTGGTTACGTTATTTGAAGGCTAGTAAGTTTCTAACAACTCATTTTTTTTTCAAAATGCACATTCAATTTTTCGCTCCAAAAAACGCTCATAACTTCTCGTCCATAAACGTTCTGCAGATAGGGAAGACAGTTTTGGAATCAGCGATTTATGCGCTTTAATATAGTATACATCTCATCTGGAAAGGCCACTTCGACTGAACAAGCTTCCCTTGTTAGTATTAGTTCAAACATAACCTAGTCAAGGGATAAACGAGGAATCAAGCAAAAAGTAGGATTCCGAATTTTTGATTTGATTCCTACGCATCTTATTAGTTCAAAGATGAAAGACTTTTTAGACATGGAAATATTACATTATAGAAGGATATATAAATGATTTGAGCTTTCATAAGAAGTGAAAGAAGAAGAAATTTTAGAAGAATATTTTTTAGAGCCTTGCAGCTGCACCTTTGCAATCCTCAGAAAAAAAACTCCATGACGATCATAATCGTTTGAATTTTTTTTACAAAAAAAGAACAATTAAATTTTGCAGCGGCTGCATATAATCCGCAAAATATATGAAAAAAAAACATGAAAAATTTCACTCTAGAAATCTGGCATTGAGTTGTGAGAGCCAAAGTGGTGCGCAATGAAGCAACGGTGTCATTTCACGCGTATCCGCACATGCAAACGGCATCATTTGACATTTTTCCCGGAAGGAAAATAAGACGTTGTTGTGCTAAGAAGTTCAGTGAGGTGGATAACAAGAAAACGACCACTAGCCATACAGTGCTGGCCACAACTATAGATCCACTATAAAAAACTGCCGTAGTTCATCTGCTTCTCAACGAATTGATCTGAAATTTGGTACAGCTGTGTGTTTAACAGGCTACCATCAGTGACTAGAACGGATCCCGCTTTCGTTCGATTAACTGGGAAAAAAATCAAAAATTTCAAAAAAAGCAGGCTCGAAGGTTGGCCAAAACTATAGATCCACCTAAAATTTCTGTCTGCTAAAGTAATTCTTGGCTTCCAAAATCTTTTGTGCATATACATAGTCGAAAGTCAAAGCAGTGGCTTTAGTTCAGCTGTGTCATACCTTTATAAGAAACGCTTGTCTGCTTTTTTTTCACTTGAAAATACTTTCATGCGTATTTTGTTCCCGAGAATTGTTTTTATAAAGGATTCCGCACCTTTTTGACTGGTTTAAAAGTGATAGGGCTCCATCTATCCTATAGATGCTTAGCAGTGTGAGCAGAAGAAAAAAAATCCGGGTTTTCTTATCCAAAGCGCACCCGACATAGACCTAACCGCAGGCCTGCGTTCAAATTTATGCCTTCAAACTCTTTCTGCAATGTTGTCATAAGCGTGAATTGGAGTAATGACATTGTTAGTATGTATGAGAGTCTGTATGTAGTGGTTGCAGATTTCCGCAGATCCTAGTATGCAGGCTAATTGAGGACTTCATTCTGCAGAAAGTGATTTGCAACAAGCCTTGAAGTTATTTGTGGTTCTGACCATGATGCTTGTGTGCACAAGGCAACATACAATGCAGGGTGTATTCATTAGTTAACAGCTAGTGGCAAAATTCAAGGAAAGTACCGCTTGGTAAGTACTTTGAGATTGCCGAACACACCGCAAAACTTAGGTAAAACGAATTAAAATGCGACTTCGCAAACAATCGTGACTATAGTTTACAAACTTCTTTTCATGTGAATAATGCTAAATAATGCTTCTACATTATTTTGAGCTTACAAAAATAGCGTACACTGATTTTAAAGGCAAAAATTCGAGCGCAGGCCTGCGCTTAGGTCTATGTCGGGTGCGCTTTGGATACGAAAATCCGAATTTTTTTTTACTGCTCACACAGCTAAGCATCTATAAGATAGATGGAACCCTATCACTTTCAAACCACTCAAAAAAGTGAGGAATCCTTTATAAAAACACATTCTCGGGAACAAAATACGCATAAAAGTATTTTTTTAAGTGAAAAAAAGCAGATAAGCGTTTCTTATAAAGGTATGACACAGCTGAACTAAAGCCACTGCTTTGACTTTTGACAATGTATATGTACAAAAAACTTTGGAAGCCAAGAATTACCTTAGCAGACAGAAATTTTGGGTGGATCTATAGTTTTGGCCAACCTTCGAGCCTGCTTTTTTCGAAATTTTTGATTTTTTTCCTGAGTAATCTAACGAAAGCGGGATTCGCTAAGGTCACTTATAGAATCCTGTTGAACACATAGTTGTACCAAATTTCAGATCAATCTGTTGAGAAGCAGATGAACTACGGCAGTTTTTTATAGTGGATCTGTACATAGTTTTGGCCACCACTGTATAACCCTGCAATCGAAGACCAAGGTAACAGTATCGATCCTTTATATAAGAAGACCTTGAAACGGCAAATTTGGAAAAAATCTTTAATTTTGAATGAAACATGGAAGAGATTTCGGTAAAATATTAGGTTGTCCCGAAAGTTTTGTCGGTTTTTTCAAACCACTGTAAAACCACGCACAATAAACGTCTGAACGAGTTTCAACATGTATTCGATGCAGCTTTTCCTTCTCTTTCTTATGGATATATCCTTGAGCCACAATTCTGTATGCTTTCTTTGATAATTTCTGAAATTCTTCACCCGTCATTTTTGTCTGCTCAAAGTTCGGCTAATTTTTAGAAATTTCATTCAGATGTTTCGGAAAGGGTTAGGTAAGCACTAAATAGAGCAATTCTCAGACTACAAGATGACATTTTTAGATTCCACTAATCTGCTGATTTTCGCTTCAAAAAATAATTTCTCCGGAGGTATCGATTTTTGGCAAAGTCATAAAACACGCAATTGCATCAAATACATGAAAGCTTTAAAGTTTCTGCGAATTGCAACATGATTCTTAATGAACACTATTTATGCAACATTACCCAGTTTGACTTGCTTTGAAAAAGCAGCTTTTTGGAATTTTCGGTACTTTTACCTGGCAAACGTAATCAAAAAGCTGCGGTTTTCATTAAATAAATATTATAACGGACTTGATAAACGTGACCCAAGTAATCTAAAATGGGTACAATGTAGCCAAAGCTTTACTCTACATAACAGTCACCAGCGCGCCTCAAAATTCTCAGGATAGAATTTTTTAAAATTCAGGAAAGATTTGGCGGTACCGTTGAGCTGCTCAAAAAGCCATGGTGATAACATTGCAAAGACAGGGTACGTCAGAGAGCAATTATAGCTCTAAGAAAGAGGATGAAAATCTAAATCAAATGGTACCCAGAACGTTCACGGACTGGTGTTCTGTGAGTTGCAGTGAGCGATGAAAAAACCGACAAAACTTTCGGGACAACCTAATAGAAACTCAAAGATTTTCATGGTGAAATTAAGAAAAATTGTTTTTTCTTACAACTTGAACTTGCTTGTTTTTGTATTTTTTTTAATCTGGGAAATACAGTGTACCCTTCTTTTTCCTTAGAATTCAAGCAATATAAAAATTAATAATTCCTAATTTTAGGATATTAATTGTGATTTTTAAAATCTTAAACAAAAAATCAGATTGTCGAATTTTCCTGCCTTTGACACTAAATTTTATTTCAGAATCTAGATATTAAAACGCACTCATATTTTCTTACAAAATTTACGCCTTTAAAAACTGAAAACTCTATAATTCGTAAATTTCCAAGTAATTACTAGAATCACAGTTATAAATAACTATTTTTTCCCATCTGAACTATACAGCCAATAATATTAACTTTACTCTGTATTTGCAGTATCTAGAAACTTTGTTTCTTAACAATTGAATTTGAACTGCGAATTAATTTCTGACACTAATACGTGGCACCCAAAATCTTCGCGAACAGGAGTAAAATCTACTAAATCGAAAGATTCAAAGATTTTGATACTGCTGCTGTGTCAAGCACACGGAAAACAGAACGTTGAAATCGAATCCGCTGTTTGGAAAGAATAAAAGAGCCGGCACAAATCCTGGGACTGGCGTCTAATCGCAGTTAGACACGCGATATTGGACGAAAATTGTCAACATGGAGATTATTTGAACTTTGGACGAGTTAATCGTCTGTCATGCTATGTGTTCAATTGCAGCCTATGCACAACAAATACTCAAGAAAATCTTATATATAAAGCTGAATGTCTGTCTGTCTGTATGTCTGTCTGTCTGTCTGTACGTATGTGCGGAATAGAAATTTTTATTTCTGAACCGATTTGGACCAAACTTGGCACACATATACTTCGGGGCAGGGAGCGTGTCATAGGCTACTTTTCGTTATCGATCGATATCGATTTTATCGATTTTTTGCAAATTTTGAGCTAGGGGGCTGGGATTTTGCACAGGGGGGTAATCGAACATGCTGATCACCCCCGTGGGGGTGATCAGCATGTTCGATTACCCCCCTGTGCAAAATCTCAGCCCCGTAGCTCAAAATTTGCAAAAAATCGGTGAAATCGACATCGATCGATAACGAAAAGTGGACTATGACACGCTCCCTGCCCCGAAGTGTATGTGTGCAAAGTTTGGCCCCGGGCGGAGCCGGGTTTGCCATCTAGTACTTAATAATACGAACATTTGCATCAAACAAGACATGAGTCCAAGCAGGGCAAAAATCGATATATCGATTAGCCCCATGCTGATTGATTAAACATACCTGACTAGTTTGCGGTCGATCATCTTCAATAGCAGCGCCGCGGACGAGTCGTCTCACTCCGGTGGTGTCGCTCTGTTGTCGCACCATATTGGCGCTGGCCAACAGCGAGCGCGGCGTCAATCCGCCGCGTTCTCCGTCGCCAAGCATCCTGGAATTCGGTAGGATACGGTAGGAGTACGATATGATTATGGTAAACGTTTCGAGATCATGTGGATATATAAAGTATGTATGAGAATCAGGAGAATGGAGGATAATCAGCAGAAATAGAATGAGTTGAGCCTCTACTGTAGGATTACGGTAATGGTACGGTAATTTACACATAAAATTTGAAGCAGAGAACACTCTCAAGAATTGTAAAATTCTTTCGGTTTACGACTTTCAACCTACGTGAGATGTATAGGATACGGTAGGGATGCGGTATGGATACTGTAGCCTGCGAGACCATGGGCGATATATAAGGTGAAACAGAAAATCACGGTAATGGAGGATTACGAGCAGAGATATAATAAGTAGAACACCGAAGTAACATCAAAGTACTACCACGGTAATGGTACGGTAAGACATGTGGAGAACGGGTAAAACGGAGACTAGATTTCAGAAACTGCGATTTATTACTACTTTTATCTTTAAAAAATTTGTACAAGTTCCTACTACATTTTTTGTTACCTAATATACAGGGTGTCCCAAAAAAATGTGAACACTGTTTGATCGTTAATAACTCCCTTATTTTCATGTCTTTCGCCGAGCTTGAGGAACCATTCTGTAGAGCGAGGTTCAACTTAGATTTATAGTATGGAGCGAATCATCGATCGCTCTTCGTTACTGTAGGATTACGGTAGCAACTTCGACAAGGATTTTAGGCCATTGGAAGCCATATTCTGCCTCGAAACAAAACCAAACAAGCCAAAAACTCTTATACTACGGTGATGGCAGCCCCTGATTTCGAATATGAAATTTTCACTTTATTGTGATGCTTCTTTCCAAGGTTATCCCAGGTAGACCGTAACAACTGAATTTCCAGCGTTTGTCAGAAATGTGATTACACCATCAAAAAAGCTAAAAACACTCGTAAAAAGTATTGTAGCGGAATCAGCATGCTCAAAAACCCTAGTACATGATTTTTCAGATTTTTTGAAAAAAATTTCGTCAAAAGGCATATTTCACAATGGATCCACATGCTGAAAGTTCATACCCTAATCCTACAGTAACGAAGAGAGATCGATGATTCGCTTCATACTATAAATCTAAGTTGAACCTCGCTCTACAGAACGGTGCCTCAAGCTCTGTGAAAGACATGAAAGCAAGAGAGTTATTAACGATCAAACAGTGTTCACATTTTTTTGGGACACCCTGTATTCACGTCTTTTCTGAGTATCTCACAGTTTTTCAAAATTGACCAATAAAAACTTTGAAGTCGGTGCATACTGATGTAATTACACAAGAAACGATTGCAAAATTTTGTTGCAAAAAATGAATGTACGCGGAAATGCGAATAAAGTGCAAAACTGTTCAAAATGATGCAATCTGTGCAAATTCACGTCATGTCAACTTAGCTCATTTCCATTTTGCAATCGAATGCAATTTACAAGTAATATTTGCAAAACACCTGGCGCAATGACATCAACGAAGCAGGTGCGAGCCGAATGTGATCTTGACGGGAAGAAGTAAATGTCTTGCTATAAATATAGGTATGGAATGGGAGAAATTCTTTGAACAATCATTTGAAGCATAAAAGCAAAGTTTACGAAAAAGAATCAAAATGTATTTCCATACTAGGTTGCCCCAATTTTGCAGCAGAAAATTCAAAAAAAAGTTTCAAGATTGTTTCAGGGCTCGGCACAGGCTTGTAAGCAAGCTGGATATCGTTTTTGGGACAAAAATGCAAAAGGATTGTTGACATAAAAATTGGAAGTTTTTAGTCGACTTTCGTTTTGCGCGGTTTTTTACGTTCAGGGTTTAGGGTCAAAGAGGACTTCGTAAAAATTCGCGAATGTCAAGGGGGACTTCGTTTTTTGCATTTTCCAAAAGCCACCTCGTGCCGAGCCCTGGATTGTTTCAGAAAAGACGGGATTATCGTATACTTTCCTGAAAGTTTGATAGATCAAGATGTTATCATAACACAATCTTGTCATATAAAAATCTGGAAATTTTAACTTTTGACTAAGCCCAATCGGCTCAAATTTTTTAGGAAGAGTAAGTAAAAAAAATCATGAACAAAAGCTGAATAAAGATCTGCAAGTTTTAGCAATTTTAATGTCCAAACTAGGAATGCATTTTGAATATTTTTGTCAATCGGTTGCACCGCCAAGATTTGAAAATGATTATTTTTGCACAAAGCCAAGCCTCGCTACAAAGCTGATATTTTACTGTCTACAACAGATCTGTACCAAAATAAAACACTGAAGGCGAGGGGGTTTATGCATTTTCAAAAATGAATTTGTGCAAGACTTATGAGACAACTTAGCCAAGAGGGTGAATATTTTCGTGAATTGCAAATCTTGCTCCTCCTTATTCCCTCCTTCTTGTCCCTTCTCCGCAAGATCAGCCTAATTCCCAGGATTGCAAAATCTTAAACACCGGATCAAATCCCTCATACAACACTTTCTCACTACTAATCCTACTATGCGTGAGTAGAAGAGCATGAATCGCTGATGACATCAGCAGGAAGCCAAGAACACGCGAAGCCTATGCGAGTTAACGTAAGCGCATGCTTGCATCATATAGTAAGCAATGAGTCAGAGACACTTTGGCACGCTTGGGACGAGTTTTACGGATTTTGAACGAAAATTCTATTTATATAGCGTAAGCGAAGTTTCTGGTCTCAAGTGCCTCCAACTAGAATTTTGATGCGCTTCGTCAAACCTAGAGACCAAAACCGCTAACGAAAATCTATTTTGCTAGAACATGCTGTGAGGAGATTCGAAAGTACTATTATGTATTTAAGGAGGTCTAAAATGGTTCAAGTCAGTTCCTTGATTCTAAAAATAATGTTTTGGAGTAAACCCAGTCCCATGAAAAGAAAGCATGTAAAAAAGCTTCAAGATAATGTACAAGGTTCGCATAAAGAATATTCTTGCTTTTTTTTTGAAGGAACAGAGGAACTTGCTTTTTGCTGATTCAATATCTTCTGGATTTGGAAAATACAATAAAACAAATTAAGAACGAGCCTAGGATGTATTTAAGGTTCTTGACGCTAAATAGGATTCCAAGTTTTTGGCAGAACTCCAACCCTGTTTACTTTAAAAAGTTTCGCGAGGTGCAGAAACAATAGCCATAAGAGCGTCAAGCGTGAGGTGTGGCATGCCACCCTGGGGGTCGAACTGAGGGGTCGAGGAGGAGGAAGGGGGGGGGGGGATCGTTATCAAGGGTCCGCTGTTCGCATAACATGATATTCGTTAACAATGTCAGGCCCGTTATGCAAAATACTAGCACATTGAAGTTTGACCCATTATCGCATACGTACAGTAGGCATAGTTGAAGATCTATAGAGCATAAGAGCGTCATTTTGTAATTAACAAATGAAATAACCCCTGTGGTCCAAGTTTCAGCGAATTCTGAGGTTTCCAAATACGAGACCACCTAAGCGAGATGGTCGTTTTCAAAAATGTTACTTTGTTTCAATGGTAAGTTAACTCCTTCTTTTTGCTCTTATTACGAAGAACTTCTATTTCTTTGCTCACATTAAATATCCTACTTCAAATGACCTCCAAATTGAGGAATTAAGAGCGAGCCAAAATCTCAATTGTTCCATTTTCCGCTTACAGTATCTCAGACTAGAGAAGACCAATCAGACTTAGATCACTTTTAAGTACATTATGAGGCTTAGGCTATCAAATATATTTATCCTTGTCGCCTTCTTTCGCGATTTACATAGTATAGACTAGGCATTTTACCCTAATCCAGTATTTCCGCAGCATTTTCCATTTGCATATGTAAAGGAAAAAGACTATATCTTTTCCAAGAAGAACCGATTTCAAACGACTTTCCTACTGTGTAAAGAAGAAGGTTGAGCAGTAGCAAAAGTGTAAAAAATGCACTTACTTACCCTAATTTCTTGCGTATAAGGCGCGGGGATTTTTTTTAAATCGACCAACCCAGAAACGCCAAAGGACTTTACAACCAAAGGACTCTATAACGTGCTGCTTATTGCTTGACAAAATCGTGCGGTATAAGGATCTCTTTCCGGAATACATTGAAGCGGCTGAGCGGCTCGCTTGAAAAATCAAAAAAGTGCGCCTTATACGCATGAAATTAGGGTAAATGGTTTGAAGGTAAGTTAATGGGTGTGGCACAACCCCTAAAAAGATGTGGCAGCCACAGCCTTTTCTGGGATTGTGCCACACCCCATTAACTTGCCTCAAAAGAGAATTTTGGGAAACAAATTATATACAGTTCGATAGCCAAGATCTCGTAGTTTTAGTAAAAGTGATTGGAGCTGGATTCGTCCTCTCTCGTCTGAGCATTAGTTGCTGGAGGTACAACCACTTTGCACGAAAAATGGGACAAACGAAATTTTTGCTGGCTCCTAATTTCATAGTTTGATGGTTATTTGAAGCAGAATTCATGGTATGGGCAAATAAGGAGTAGTGCTCCGTAGTGAGTACAAAAAGAGTTAGGCAGTTTACTTTTGAAGTATAGTTAATCATCTTTGAGAATGGCCATTTCACTTGGATGGCCCAATATCGGGAAAACCCGAGAATTCGCTAAATCTTGGCCTACACGGGTTATGTGACATGCTAATCACAAAGAATTTACTGAATATGCTTGGTAAAGCCTTTATGTCATGCCTACGGTAAGCAAACGAAAGGGGGGGGAGGGTATCCGGCGGTTTTGTACCACACCTCTTGCTCGGTCATAAGTTTATTGCCAACTTTATGTAGCTTTTTCTTTGCTTTTACGGCCAATAAATTACTGCGAAAAGCTCAATCAAATATATTGAATAATACGCATTGTGAGGTAAAGCATGAAAATATAAAAACCAGAAAGATCAGAAGACAAGCACGTCAACCCTTCGTGTAGATCAGCAATAAAGTCATGTGAAGTAGTTGGTGGAAAAGAAATCAGTCAAAAAAGAAAAAAGTATTCAGAGAATGAAAATGGAGCGAAATTAAATACGTATGCAGGCTTGAACCCCGGGGGAGGGGGAA